TATGTCAAAGTTTTATCAAACTTCTCATGCCACTGCTTAGGAGCTTGTTTCAGGCCATATAATGACTTCAATAACTTACACACCATGCCCTCTTGACCATTTGCTATAAATCCATCCGGCTGATCCATATAGATCTCCTCATCTAACTCTCTATTTAGGAAAGCCGTCTTTACATCCATCTGATGAATGATAAGACCATGAGAGGCAGCTAGAGAAAGTAACACTCGAATTGTGGTCAATCGAGCAACAGGTGAATAAGTATCGAAGAAATCTTCACCTTCTTTCTGGGTATAACCCTTGGTCACAAGCCTTGCCTTGTACCTCTCAATTGTACCATCAGGCCTAAGTTTTTTCTTGAACACCTATTTGCATCCTATTGGTTTACATCCATAAGGACGTTTAACAGTTTCCCAAGTTCCATTAGACATGATTGAATCCATCTCACTCTGTACTGCTTCCTTCCACAAGTCAGCATCATAAGAGGAATATACCTCTTCAATGGTTCTTGGTATGTCATCCACAAGGTACACGATGTAGTCATCACCAAAAGACTTTGTAGTCCATTGTCTCTTACTCTTTCGAGTGACTACAATGTCATCCTCCTCAGGATTATGCATATGAGGTTCCTTAGAATGTTCTATCAGAATAAATTGCTCATGGAGAATTATAGGTTCATGACTAGACGTGCTAGGCACATTTTTCATAGAAAAATCACTTTCAAAAAATGTAGCGTATCTGGACTCCATGATAGTACCAACATGCATGTCAGGTACCCCAGAATTTATAATCAAGAATCTATATCCAGCGTTATGAATAGCATAACCAAGGAAAACATAATCAACAGTTTTAGGTCCAAGTTTGCGCTTCTTGTTAATTGACACATTCACCTTGGCCAAACAACCCCAAGTGCGCAAATAAGAGAGATTTAATCTTTTCTTCTCACATTCCTCGAATGGTGTGATTTCTTTATTCTTTGTAGGAACTCTATTTAGGACATGACATGCTGTCAAAATAGCCTCACCCCACCATTCCTTAGATAGTCCAGCTGTCTCCAATATGGTGTTAACCAACTCAGTTAGAGTGTGGTTCTTTTTTCGGCAATCCCATTGGATTGCGGTGAGTATGGCGGTGTCCTCTCATAAATAATTCCATGTTCTACACAGAATTCAGAAAATTCACTTGAAAAGTATTCTCCACCACGATCAGATATTAACCGTTTAACTTTCCTCTCAAGTTGATTTTCTACTTCAACTTTATAGATCTTAAAGTAATACAACGTTTCATTTTTTGTTTTTAATAGGTACACATAGCAAAATCTAGTACAATCATCTATAAAAGTCATGAAATATCTTTTGCCACCTTTAGTCAACTCACCATCATCTCGCATAAATCAGAATGGATTAGTTCTAATGGCGCCAAGTTTCTCGTCTCCGCAGCCTTGTGAGGCTTACGAGGTTGCTTAGATTGCACACACACATGGCACTTAGAACCTTTGACCAAATTAATTTTTGGGATTAAATTTAGATTTGCAAGCCGCGATAGATAATCAAAATTAATATAACAAAGACGTGAATGCCAAATATTTGACTCATCAGGGATAATAGCATTGTTCACAATCTTATTACACATATCATCGTACAAGGATAAGCGGAATAAGCCTCCGCAATCATAACCTTTACCAACAAAAATTTCATACTTTGATAGTACACATTTATTAGACTCGAAGACAATTTTATAACCATCTCAACAACATTGAGAGCCGCTAACTAGATTCTTTTTTATGGAGGGGACATGCTGCACGTTCTTCAACAACACCACCTTTCCCGAAGTGAACTTCAGAATGAGCGTACCAACACCAAGAACACGCGCATGTGACTCGTTCGCCATCAGCAAGGCTCCAGTCCAGCCGACCTGATAAGAAGAAAACAAAGAGGCATCAGCACACACATGAATATTAGCTCCAGTGTCCATCCACCACTCAGGCGAATGACAAACTAAAAAGAACAGTAGGTAAAGAATTACCATACCCAGATGTTCCTCCTTTAGCCTCGCTAATAACCATGTTTGCAGATTTCTTCTCTTGCTTAAATTTGCGGTCTGGGCATGAACTTGCCCAATGCTCATCACTCCCGCAAACAAAGCAACCACCATCTTTGTTGTTCTTTTTCTTCTTAAAAGTTGTTGTTTGTTTAGGCTTCGAGTTATTCTCTTGCTTGTTCTTCTTTTATTATTACGAGATGCATTTGAATTTTTCTTCTACACCATAATAGCACTAGAAGACTCAACGCCTTTCCCACGCGTGTCTTTTGCTCTCGCCCTCTCCTCAACATCAAGGACCTAATAAGCTCAGTCACGCTAAACTTTTGTCTCTTGTAATTTAGAGAGGTAGCAAAATCCCTTCAAGAAGGTGGCAGCTTAGCGATTATACCGCCGGCCACAAACTTGTCGGGCAACACACATGGGAACTGTTCGAGTTCCTTAGCCAGTGTTTGTATCTCATGAGCTTATTCGACCACAGAACGGTTGGCAACCATCTTATAGTCAAACAGCTGCTCCATGAGGTACAGCTCGCTACCGACGTCAGAAACACCAAACTTAGCATCAAGTGCAACCCATAATTCCTTGCGTGACGTGTAACGAAGGTAGCTATCCTCATAATTGCTATGAAGTGCACTAATCATGGCGCCTCGAAACAGGTTATCGGCTATCTTAAACTTTTCCTTCTCCTCAGGAGTAAATTGTTCAGGTTTCTCCTATGCGGCGTGATAGCAGTTCATAGCAGTAAGCCACAGCGCCATCTTAGCATGCCATGTCTTGTAATTTGTTCTATTAAAATCATTTAGCTTCAAAGCAGCAGCAAAACCACTAATAGAAATTTGCATAATATCAGATTTTTGGATTGTTACGATTTTAGGCAATTTCATGTTAAAATTAATCTAGAAAATATTAACAATATATTAACAAATTTGTGATGACAAATATGTGCACGTGTGTGATTTTACTACTACTCAGATTAGAAGCAAATATGTTGAGGAACATCATACTGCTCATGGCGGAAAAGAGATTGAACTTAACCAATTTGAGAATAGAGATGTACCCTGCGGAGGGACCCATGCTCAAGGCGCTGGTGGCTCTAGACCCGCTCATGGTGAGTTGCTCGAAGACGACGAGCAGTCGCGGAGACGCTCCTGATCACCCGCACACACCCCGAGCGGGTGTCCCGATAATCACCACCGTAGTGGATGATAACTGACCCGTAAGTAACTCCTCCACATTAGCGTCTGTACCCCTTCCTCTTCTTTAGCCAGCACAAGTGGCAAAACCAACCCACACCCGCGCTCGTGCACGTCACGCATCGACTCAGCGGCGGCATGCGCGCGTGGCACGCCTTTGCTCTCTTTCAACTTCTCTATAGGTGCACAAGTGTGTAGCCTATTTAAATTGAGTCAACAATCAGTCAAAAACCGATACGGAACTAAAACTATATTGTACCACATCATTTAATATGGGTCTAGAATTAATTATTTTATTAAATAAAATATGGGCCTAAACCCATATAATATTCAGCAGTTGCAAATGAGCATTCCAGTAGCATTGGTGTGCTTATTAGCTTCTGTTTTCTTTTTTTTTTTTTGTCTTCTGTTTTTTTTGTCTCCTTTTTTTTTGAGAATATTTTTGGCTCCCTTCTGTGTTGCAGTTCTAGACCATGGGCCAGATCGTGTATATGGGCCGGCGCCGGCGCGGCGTACGCTTCCGTGCTTGTTCGCTGCGTCGGATGCCCAACGAATGGCATCGGGAGTAGGGACGTCCCCCTGCCGTAGTCTTCGGTGTTAGAGCGACTCCAGTAGGTTCGTTTCGGCCGAAACGATCGTGGATATTTGGTTTGCTGCTGGTCGAGTGCTTGAGAAAAATACTCTTCGGCTTATAATCCACCATCGTTTCCCACCAAGCGAACAGGCTCGGACTGTTCACCCGTCTTCATCCTCTCTCTCTCCGTCCCGTTCAACCCGCGTGCTCGATCTCTCTCTTGGGAGCGACGAGACGACTGGACGGCAGACCGCCGCCGCCGCCTTACGCCAGGTGCGCAGGTCTTCGTGCCCTTCGCTAGTTCTTCGCTGTGCCCTTCGTCGGCGAAGGGCACCCGACAGGTACGCCCGCCCCTTCTCTTCCGTTCCTGCTGTGGGAAACCGAGCACCCAAACCCTAACGTGAGCTATTTGACTATTTGTATTCGGATCTGGTCTAATTACTAGCGTGTACCTACTAATAACTTCGATTTTCTGACAAAAAAAATTCGGGTGTACATGTATACACCCATGTCTCTGTCCGCTAGGATATCTAGCCACAGTGTTCTATTGGGTGTGCTCTAAGAGCAACTCCAAGAGCCTTTTTATATGCTTCCTAGAGATTTTGGTGAAAATAATGCCCTCCAATAGCTTCTTTAATTAGATCTCCAAAGGAATCCGATCTCCAAATATTGCCATCCTTTTTTTTATTTCTCGCTAGCCAAAGATACATATACCGATTTTTATTCAGATGGCTCTCCAAAAGATGATTTAGAGAGTGAGTCTAAGAAAAACTCTTGGAGGTGCTCTAATGTATGGAGTATTATGCCATACATAGATTAGGCCACTTAAAGAGCTGATCTCCACTAATATTTGCAAAGTCTGGGTGTGCCCAGGCTCAAGAGGATACCCAATATCCGGCCATGATTTCCTGTGAAAATCGTGCAACATATATAAATGCTGACTAAATTTTAGTTAGTTAGTGTCTACGCATGTGATGAATTGCTTTGTTAAATTATTCGTATATGTTTCCATCTGCCATAAGCTATCGGGTTACCATAAAAATGCCTTATTATCTCTTACAAAAGGTGTTTATTGCAGGGGTTACGGTTTGGATGGCAAGAATTATAGAATGCTCTCTATTTCATCCTCAGTATGTATGAAGAAATAGTCCGTAACTACGCATATATATCATTGCAATTACCAAGAACTGGAAATGGACGATGATAATGGGCTTGAGCTTAGTTTGGGCCTATCTTTGGGCGGGTCATCAGGGAAGGCCAAGGCTAGAGATGCACCTCTAGAACCAGAAGCAGAACCCCAAGTGGAAGAAAGCAGTAGCAAAGGTGGCTCACAAACTCCTGATGCTCCTTTTGGGAAAAATTTTCAAAAGAGTGCTGAAAACCAAGAACAGAATAGTAAACAGAGGCACAGCCCTGTTGCACCACAATTCGGGAACTTCTGGGGACAACCAGGGAGTTCCTCTGGTCCAGTGGCAGATGGATCTGTTGAACCAGTGAGCCATCAACCCCAGCTTTCCAGTTATCAAGATGGAAGGATGCCAAATAACAGTGGAAATAATTCTGAGGAGCAGAAGCCAGTCTCGAGTAACCGCAAGTTACTTTCTGAAGAGATAAACTTTCAGAAGAAGCATCAGGCAGCTAGTGACCAGCCTGATGCATTCAGTAAGAGCTCTGATGGAGGTGCAAAAAATGCACCTATCTCAATTAGTACGGATGATGGCTCAACTGGTGAAAATGAGGACGTTGTAGAGTCAGAAGCAGAAGGCTCAAATTCTTGGTTGGTTGCACAGCGTGAAGACAGTGCTAAGGGCTCTGTTGTTAACAAGGGATCTGATAGGAAAAGATCCGCCGATGCTGCTGCAGTTGGTTTTCAAGGAAAGAGGCAACCAAGTTTCTCAGGAAGTGAGTCCAGCTCTGGAAAGCTGACACCTGGGAATCCGTTATCGATGCAGGCATCAAATGCAGTGGCTGTGCCATATCAAGTCCCACCTCAAGTTTCTGGACCTCCTACCATAACAAATGCACCAAATTTTCACCCGGTATGTACTGTGCAGTTGAGGCCACCCACAAACGCCGGACTAGCTGTCCAGACAATGGGTAATGCCTCTCAGGTTGCTTTTGGCTACCCAGCAGTCCAGCTACCAACACTTGAAACAAGCTCTTCATGGGCATTTGGTGCTCCACCTCAGGCTGTGTCTTCTTTTACTGCAAAAGACAAAGCTGAACAAACAGGAACCAAGCAAGCTGACGATGGCAAGAAGCCTCAGGGTTAGTGACTGTGTTTCCTCCCCAGGAAAATGAATAAACTCCATTTTTGTGTGATACTTTTATGGCTGTTGCTACATACTAACAAAAAAAAAGATGTCTGCCTCTAAAAAACAGATTTGTTAACAAAAACTAAGTTAAAACACTTGATTTTATGTAACATGTGTCTGGTTAGCAATACATGTTAGAGAAGATTTAAACCATGGTTCCATCCTAACAGTCCATGGCTGTTCCTCCATTTATTTGTTATATGGTTGATGTATACTGGTGGCCCTGTCATGAAGCCCTTTAATTTCACATTATTTCTATTTGTGGGGGAGGATTACTGCCTTTTCTTCATGCATTGCCTGCCAGTAATCTGGTGTGCAAAATGATAAACTGTGGAAGGAAATTCCATTTTGAGCTCTGAGCTTTTGTGCATGGCTATGTTTGCTGCCAAAATTATATATGCATGTTTGAATATTTTGCCAACTGACATCATATCGACCTTCCAGTGCTGACTTGCTTTTCATTTTTCGTTTGGCAAATTGCAGAGGCAGGTGCTTCCTCGTCTGCTCATGCTGAAGATGAGAAAAAGGCTGATAGAGGACTCTCTCTTATGGGTTCTGCCATAAGGCCAGGCATCGCACCAAATGTCAAATTTGGAGGGTCTGGATCATATCCGGATCTTCCATGGGTTTCTACCATCGGCGCTGGACCAAATGGCAGAACCATATCAGGTGTGACATATAAGTTTGGTAGAAACGAAGTAAAGATAGTATGTGCCTGCCATGGCACTCACATGTCTCCGGAGGAGTTCATGCGGCATGCAAGTGCAGATGCTCCGGCCCAAGAAAATAGTGCAACCCTACCGGCATTCCCTGTCGGTAACCAAGCAACGTCTGCAGAAAATTAATTTAGCGGTTCACAGAGAATGCTTGACTAATAATCCTTACCCCTCTTCTGTCTATACCAGCCATTCACTGTAATACTCAGTGTTCATCTCATATTGATTTTTATCATGGAAGTTTAGATTCTTGTATTTTGAGCTTTGTTTGGGGACAAAAATCATGTATTTTTAGTGCTATGTAACACATGGACTGCCAATGCTATGGTTGGATTTTGATCTATAGACGATGTGCCCATTGGGCAGTGAGTATCAGAGGAACAAAAGAGCAAATATTTGAAGAGGGAAAAAGAAAAGGAGAAACAGATGTTTTGTCTTCCTCGCGAAGTTCCACGCGAAGGCTGATCCTCTGATTCTTACCACCGGTGAAAACCGGTGTGGGTTACACAAAGCGAGAACAATGCAAGAGGGACGCTATGGTGTGTTTGCTTGGATGGTCAACCTTCTATTCAGGCTCCATTAATAAGATCCTGCTCACTTCCTGGAGCTCCGCCACCTGGTTTTGTATCTTCCTTGTCTCTGTGCCTAGGTGCTCTGTGGATGCGCTCGCTTCTAAGTTCTACGACGCCGATGGGCATGTCAATGGAGCCTCCCCGCCGCTGCTTAGGCCATGTTCCCGACCAGCACCTCGTGGCACATGGCGAGCATGGCCATGGCCTGGACAAGCCGAGGTGCGCCACGAGATCCTCATCAAAGAGGAAGGCGAGCGCAACATCACGGTTGGAGGTGTACCATGAGCTCCTTGACGGTAGTCTTGGCCGGAGCGCGGGCGCAGTCAATGCAGTCAAAGACGGCCCTGTTCAGAAGCGAACGCAGCGGAGGTACTCGTGGCCATGGCCGTGGAGAGGAGGCAAAGGGCGGAGAGGAGGCATAAACACTCAGCACATGTTCGATAGAATGTGAGAGAGGTAAACTTATTTGGACAAAAGATTGGGTGATTCATGCAAGGCAATCCAGACAACCAAGCATACTATTTCTTGTGTAGGCTAAGCGAATCAATAAAACCAAACAAGTGTATCTTGCATTGTTGGAGTCATGCTTCTTCAACTATCAAGACTCAGTTAGCTAGAAGGTTTTAAACGTAGGTTAATCGTAAACCAAATACACCCTTTGTATATAGGCTCACCCCTTAGAGTAGTCGTAGTGTGATGGTGCTAAAGGTGATTCCCGATGGTGCTAAGAATTATAAAAGTGTTAAATGGTGGGCAAGGTTGCTACTAAGTAAAAATGAAGCATTTAGATTAAAAATATATATTTTATCTATCTCAAGTTCCACCTTTAGAAATGAAGATAAAGCTGAACGTTGGCACATTTTATGCCCACTAGCATCCTGTTTGTTTTTTATCTTGTATATTTTGCTATACACTACGACTGCTTTTAGATGTTTTTTTTCATTACATTCTTCTCTAGAACCATGTTGATAATTTGACCATGTTCAATTGTTGATTTTGTATGGTGTTCTTTGTGCCAGCTCACGAGTTTGGCTCGAGCTGGTAAATGAGCTAAACCAAGCTATACTTTTACTTGTAATGACAAGAGTAAAAACATATATATGTTATAGCTCAGGTAATTTTTATGGATGGAGTCATATAAGTGGCTTTAACTATTTTCATTTCATCATGATTTTGAGACCGGTTAATTAGTACTTCCTCCATTCTAAATTACATATTGTTTTAACTTTTCTAGATATGTAATTTTTGCTATGAGCGTAGATTTACATTATATGAAAAATAATTATATCTAAAAAGCCAAGTCTAGTAATTTAGAACCGAGGATAGTAGCAATTTTTTTCCACATCTCGGCACCGTCCACCACCCCTCCCTTGTTCTCGTCTCCCTCGCGTACCTGTCATCCGTACGCCGCCGCCGCCGCCTGTCTCGCACCGCAACGGTCCCTCTTCCTAGATCAAGCCTCCCTCTTCCCAGATCGGGTCCTAGTTGGGCTACCTCCGCCGCCGCCGCCCTACGATAGGTGCCGAGGCCTTCGCCGATCTCTTGGCCGGCGAAGAGCGCCCGCCAGGTATCCCCACACCCTTCTCTTCCCTGTATGTTGTGCGAAATCGAGTTCCCAAATTCTAACCTCAAGCTATATGGCTATTTGATGCCTACTAACTTCTAACTTTTTGCAAAAATTATCGGGTTTACACCACCCATGTCCCTTTTTTTTACTAGATCCGCCCAAAGGTGTGCATTTTACACGTAAGATGTTGATTTCATCATTTGCGTTTCCTCTTATGATCATTACCATTATTAGAAAACAAGTGGTTCTGTTAGCGCAGTATTGTAGCTGACATGGTACAAAAACAAAATTTCGCATTTGGACTTCTTGATTTCTTTATAACTTGATTGTTGTTTCGCTGCTTATTGAAAAGGGGAGAAACAGAGAATGCTATTGTGATATTGGCAGACAAGCTACATATCAAAATGCAGGTTGGTGTGGATTTGGATGCAAATATGTGGGAGAGGAGGGATGGGACCATGTAGGACAACTCCATGAATATGTTGAATATGGTTTTACTATCTTCACGTTGAAAAAGTAACAAATTTCAACAATGCATGGATCATTTCGAAGCACCACAGTGACTGCGCCTTTAAAGTTGCTTCTTTAGAGATACAGGCAGAGGCAGTGATGCATGCAATTTATGAAGCCGATCTGTGGTGCCACACTCGCACGAAAGGCCTAGTGGAGTTGAGGTTTTGTTCAATGACATGCAGCTCTCCTGTGTGGATTTTTTTTTAATTTTAACACTTTTTGAAAACTAATTTTAAATCTAACACTGTTTTTTTTTAAACTAACACTTTTGACCGCGCCTATTGCCATGGCGCGGCCAAACGCCTGTGCCGCGCCATGCATGGTGGCGCGGCAGCGGACTGACGTGGCGACGACCGGAATCGCTGACCGGTGACGTGGCAGGGCTTGCCGCGCCACCTATCTTGGCGTGACAGAGCCGAATAAAACCCCCGCAGCCAGTCCTGCTGCCTGAGTAGCAAGGCCCTGCCCGCCGCCGCCGCGCCCGCGTCCGCCCTTGCCAGCTCGCAGCCGAGCATGCCCGCGCCGCTCCCCCGCCGCGCGCCGCCGCCGCGCGCCGCTCCCGCGCGCCCGCGTCGCGCCAGAAAGCACGCCGGCCCTACCCGCCGCCGAGCACGCTGCCGCGCCCGCCCGACGCCGCCCTGACGCACGGCGGCCGCCAGTGCGCGCGCGCGCGCAGACGCTGCGCCGGCGCGCCACCCCTCAGCCACACACGGCGGTCGCTCACGAGGCTCAACTGCGCGCCGCGCCTCCCGGGCTGGTCTAGCACGCCACCAGGAGTTGAGGTACCATGTGATATGCAAAAACGGTTGTATGTGGAGGTTAAATGCACGGAAGAGACAGAGTGATGGAAAGTGGAGGATAACTAAAGTTGTCGAACCCCACACTTGCCTAGAAAATCAGCAGCAGCTCACTGCACGTTACCTTGCCCGTCATATATTGGGGTTCGTTGATGACAATAACGACATTTCGGTGTCTTCTTTACAACAGTCCATATTTGGATTCGTTAAGTACGATGTGACGTACGGAAAGGCTTGGCGTGCTAAGCAAATTGCTCTAGCGATTCGATGGGGTAGTTGGGAGAAAGCGTACAACAGGGTTCCCCGCATCTTTATGTGCAATGCATTACTACAACCCTGGCTTGAAATGGTTTATGGACACCGGAGGGATGTGTTTTCTGGACACAATGAGACATGTCCTCTATCGTGTGTTCTGGTCGTTCGCGCAAACGGAATATGCATTCCAGTTTTGTCGGCCAGTCGTACTTGTTGATGGCACTTTCCTGACAGGAAAGTATAGGGGCACCTTGATGATGGCTGCTGCTGTTGATCCTGAGGACCAGATAATACCCATAGCTTTTGCTTTGGCAGAGGGAGAGAACAATGAATCATGGTCATGGTTCATGCGGCTTCTACGTGTACAAGTGCTTGGCCCATCTCGTACTATATGTTTGATCTCGGACCGTCACGCATGACTTCTTAATGCTGCAGTTGAGCATATAGATGGGTTCCCGCCTCTAGTACATAGATGGTGCATGAGATACTTTGCCGCTAATTTCTGGCGGCGTCAGCGGAAGCAGGAGGTATGTGACAAGGTAAAGGCTCTATGTTGTGTACGTATAGAGCACCAGTTCAAGGAGACAAAGAGAGAACTAGACAAGATGGTAAATGAAGCGAGAAAAGGCCTGGTTAGAGGCGCAGATGGAACAGAAGGCTCAGTGGGCGTTAGCATATGACGAGGGGGGTTTCAGGTATGGCATCATGACCACTAACTCCTCGGAGTCCTTCAACCGTGTATTCACCGGAGTTCGATCGTTGCCTGTGTCTGGAATTGTTGAGTTCTCCTTTCATAAGTGCAACGAATATTTTGTGAAGAGGTGGGAACTTACGCAGAGGAATATAGCTGAGCAGGGGTGTTTTGGAAAGGCTAGAGATGAACATTTGAAGGACACCGAGGAATTGGCCAAGCAGCACACCGCCGAGCCGTATGGACCCCGCCGCCATATCTTTAGTGTACGGGGCAAGGGTAGCACAAGCTTGGGCGGCGAACGTTATGGTGGACGAAACTACCGAGTTGATCTTGAAAAGGTAGAGTGTAGTTGCAACGTCCCTCAGATCATGCATGCCCCTTACTCTCATATGATCACGGTCTGCAGGGTTCGTGGGTACAACTATGAGGATTTGCCATATATGTCACCCTTTTATCTCCGTTCAAACATCGTTAGTATTTGGGAGATAAGCTTCGAGCCATACCTTGACCCGACACGGTGACCACCTTATAATGGTTATGACTACGTGCCGCATCCAGATTTAATGAAGGTAGGGAAGGGTAGGAGGAAGAAGAAGCGACTCAAGGGGGACATGGACGCTATAAGAGGGCACGGCGAAGACATGTATGGCGGGGGAGACTTCAACGAGACCCATGGCAGGAATCTTTGCTCCGTTTGCAAACAATCTGGTCACAAGGCTAGCAGGCATAGAAGACGAGGGCAGCATGTGCTTTCATATTGTGTTCATATTGCATAACAAGTAGTTTAAATTTTGCAATGCTACATAATGTTAATTTAAATATTGTTCATTTGAATACTCTAACCCTTTGTTTATCAATTTATAACAGGATGGCCCCTCCCACGCCGCACTAGATGTACCCCCTTCTTGAGGTGGAGTACGACGACCCACTTCTTCTACCGGACGAGGAGGTTTCCAAGAGGCATTCGAGGTATCCTTACATTCCTGGGACTTAGTTCGTTATGTTGAACTTATGTCGAACAAATATTGTCGACGAAAACTTACAGACTCAAACCAATGAAAATGGTATGTGGCAACTTGTCGTCCATTTATTGCTTCATATTCGTTTCAACTTGCGCACGGTCACGACAACACTTGTAGTTTTTTACCGCACCGACAGCAGCTCAATTGAGGCTGGTCGGTTTCTGCCCGCGTCACTACCGCGCCGTGGTCTATGGCGCGTCACTGACGTGTCGTGGACTATGGCGCGACAGAACCTGGGTTATGGCGCGGCTTAACCAGTGGGCTATGGCGCTGTATTCGAGATAATTTCAGTCGATTTTGTTCATTTTAGAAATTCTCAACGCATGATACAAACAGATGTGATCACTTAAGATCGAACATGGGTAATCCGAGTATATGATACATTGGTACAATACATCAGTAGTTCAAATGGAATATAAGACAACATAATGGAATTT